ATGCTTGGTTCTAATTTACTCGATGCTCGAATGCTGCTTGCTTTGTGCTTTTTAGGAGTTCTCACTAGTTTAAGCTAACTAGTAAGTGAATATGTTAAGTTACTTATTACTGAGACTAGATAATTTTAGAAGGTTAGGTTTTAACTCTATTGCGCAGCTCTTGTTTAAATCCAACCTTTGTAGTGTGAGACCTCTCATTCGAAAAATTATCTGGTTTTGATGATATGTAATTGTATTCGTGAGCTAGTTAGAGGAAGTTAGCGGGAGTTCTTTCTGCAGTTGATGGCGGAGAGTGGTATGGAGTTTGCCCTAGGAAAACCTAGGAAGAGATTTAGTGTTGGGAGCCTTGTCTTGATGAGGGTTGATTGTATAGATATAAAGTGACTTGGCGGATTCAAGGAAATCCTGGAGGAAAGTACAGATTGATGTGGAATGTAGTATGGGCCCGTACTACTGGAAGCAGAGGATCCGTACTCGAGTCAAGGATCCCTCGATATATTTTGATGCGTGTTCTGATGGTTTATATGGTCTATTTTCAGTATGGTGACTCTTCGAGGCATGTCGGTTGGTAGTTCTGGTGCTGGTGAGGGCTCAGGCTTAGGTTCTGGAGCCGGGCAGTTGGATGATCAGACGAGGGAGTTCGTTTCGTCTGGGATTATGCGTTTCATTCTCGAGCAGACTCCTGTGATCTTCAGTACGATCAAGGAGGGTATTGTGGAGCTGTTTGAGGAGCGTTTCGGCTCTTTCCATTCTGAGATGGTGGCCTTGATATGGACACGTTCATTGACCTTCAGGGAGTTCCGGGCATGTGGGGCTCCGAACTACTATGGGGAGAAGGAACCGATAGCAAGCAGGCGGTGGTTAGCAGATGTCGCTAATGCATTCCGCACCAACAGTTGTCCCGAGGGGGCAAACCCTAGTCCTGTCGGTATCAAAGAAATTAGAATCCAAGAAACAATCATAAAATAATTGCACGATTATAAACCAAAAAAACTAATGAATAAGAAAAACCTCAAAGGTAGCCTCGTAATTCTCCCAGTCTCCTCGTCTTCTTATTTAAGCACACAATCTCAAGGGAATGAGGTCGCCGGAAGCGAAGGAGTAGAGGCCGACGGGTCTTCTTTGAGATAGTTGGCAAGAAGAAAACTTGTGATCGAAAGAGAGAAAAAAGTGAAGTGGGCTATGAGATTGAGAAAAGTAATCGTCAGACCAACATCGCAACTAAGATGGTGGTCACTGTGGAGGCCGACGGTTACCTGGTCGTCGTTGTGGTGGCCGACATGAAACAAATCGCCGCTTGAGAGAGCGAGAGCCAAAGGAGGAGCAGCGATCGATTAATGAGAAAGGGATACATTTCTGATTTCAGTGAGCATCAAACCCGACGACTTGTCGTCCCTATACCCTTAAACAAAATGACGTCGCCCCTATATTCTAATTAAACTATATATATATAATAATAATAATAATAATAATAATTATTATTATTATAATAATAATTTATTTTTGCGACAATATGTTGTCCCTTTAGCTTTTTGGAATCCCGCCAACATTTTTTTCGTTCCCGCTTTACAAGTAGAGGCGATTTGTTGTCACTTTAGCATAAAAAGTAAAAAATTGTTTGGTCAACTCCATAGCGACCATATGTCGTCCCTATATGATCGTCTATAGCGACGACTTTTGTCATCCTTATAAGTTTCGTCCCTATAGATGTTTTGTAGTGACAATTACCATTTTGTACCGATTAAACTAGTTCGTAGTAAAATAAATTGGTATGGTACTAGTAGAAAAACTTATGTACAAACTATAGTTGGTATGGTACACGATTTGGGTAAAAAGAGATCGGTACCATATCATGGTCACCCTATACTTCTTCTTATTCTAAGAAAATTAACACTAATTTAGAGCTTTTGATCTTAAATCTTTGAAACCCAATAGAAGAACAAGAATATAAAGATCGATACTACCTACATCTATGGTGGTATTTACTTGTTTCGATCGTATCTAAGCTCTTAAACATGCTGATTTGTAAATGAATGAAGAAGTTTGTAATTGGTGAGAAACGGAACATATCAGCTTGGAAAATATGTTTAAGTCGACAAAATTGTATCCTTCATTGCTAATCCTTTCTATTTTCTAAAAAACAAATACATATCAAGACAGTGTTTACTACCTCAGATTCTCATATTAATGAAAAATAGTTAAGATTACAACTTTTGAAAGATTGATACATGGAAGAAGGAAGTGCTTGCCAGTGATGGCAGATGGTCATCAGATGGAAATGATGGAGGGGTCGAAAGAAATCGGTGGCGGAGGTAGTAGCGACAATGCACTTGCTAGTATAACCAATGAAGGGTGGAATAACCGGGAGTAAGGATGAAACTGTACGGGGGAAATAGTAGGTGACATGAAGATCACATGTGTTACACCCACTTCCTCAGTTTTAGTGAAGAAAAGAAAAGAAGGGGAAAGAAAGTAAGGAGAGAAAGAGAAATTAAGTAAAGTGCAAGAAAATTATACTTTAAGTATCCGAGTTGAAGAGAAGTGAAAGGAAAATTAAATATATTGCTATTTTCTCTCCAAATCCTTTCAAATTGGAAAGAAAGTTAGGAGGGAAAGATTTCCTTCCATTTTCTTTTCACTTGCGCTCTTTAATAAAGCACAGAAACACCAATTTCTTTTATATTCTTTTCACTCCAATCAATTTTTCTTCTTTTCCCTTGTTAAGTTTAACTCGAGAACATGCCCTTAGTTAACCGATGGTAATTAGGTTCTTTTTTTTTTAATTAAAACTACAAGTAAATGATAAATAAATTAAAACACAAGTGTTTTAGTATTATTTTCTAAGAGCACAAGACTTACGTCAAAAACTCCACGAAGCAGAGGGACCAAAACAAAAATAAAATCTTTAAATAAGAAAAAAATAAAAAAGATCCTTTTAAATATTCATATACGTTAACGTATTTTGATTGTGCCTCCCCAAATGAGAATTACAATTAGGCTGGAGGGAGTGGTGCCACACTCCCTCATGAAACCGCAATGACATGTAAGCGCCACCTCATCCTTTATCACAAAAGTGTGGTTTCATACCAGACCCAAGGAATAGTGCCACACTCCTTTAATTATTTTTATTTTTAAATAAATAAATTTTTGAGTTTTAATTAAAAACAAAAGATTTCATTAATTAAAAATAAAAACCATTACATTACTTAAAAAAAATCCTAGGAAATTAGAAAATAAAAACTAGAAAGCTTAAACCTACAACTTAAAAAAACACACACACACACACATCAAATAATTAAAAACTTGGAAAACAACTACAAATTAACCACGATAGCGTAACGTTTTTTCACGTCTTCCTTCATTTGCAAAACAACTTGAAGCGCATCTCCGGTCAAATTCGGCGTGTCCATCGATAGCACTCTCAGGTCGCTGTCCCTTTGTTTCCGACTCTCTCTATCCGAAGAAAGTTGCAAAAATTTATCCATTCTATCTTTTATGCCTTGCACATTATCGGCCATTTCTTTCAAGTCATCCGATTCTGACGCTTTGCCATTGCCTTTGTTTTTTGTTTGTCCCTTCCCATTGGTCGGGGGGGGGGGGTGGTGACAATTGAACGGACTCATCCTCGTTGAGGTCGAAACCAACACGAACATCCAATGAAGTGTGTTCGGATTCGGAAGTTCTTGACCATTTTGATCCACTATCGATGTCCTTATCGCTTGTTTTTAGATTTTGCCATTTTTTTGTTGCCTTTGAGTAGATTCCAAACTTCAAAAAACTTGAAAGTCTTCTTTTTCTCTTTTAGATAAATGTTAAAAACTTTCTCCAAAATCATTTCGTCACTTTCGCCGCTTTTCCATTGCCGTTTCATGTTGTTATATAAATCGTTAAACAACATGACGTCTTTGTACATTTTTCCCCATTTTGAGTACACCTGATGTTTAGTACGATATGGTTGTAGGTTCATTCCTTTGTGGAATCGAGCTCTAACGCGCATCCAAAAATGATCATGTTTTTGGTTCCCTCCCGTCTTCGCGTCCTCTGAAACGTCAATCCATTATTGTGCTAATACTAACTCTTCTTGAGATGACCACAGTTTAGCTTCCGCCTTCTCTTTTCTTTTATTTCCTGGTTGAGAGGGTTGAGTTTATGGAACAAATTCTAGTTCGGATTTGGAAATGGATGTTTGTAGTTGTGATTGTGTTTGTGGGACAAACTATGGTTGGGAACCAAAATCAAAAGGATCAAAATCTTGGTCAAATTGTGGTTGTGTTTGTGGAAATGGTTGCGTAGGACGTTGCGGAAAATAGGGAAGCATACCCCCGTAGTGGTAGAAAGACGACGAATAAACCGGTTGATCGAGTGAAAGTCTTGGAGTTGTGGTTTTTCTAGTAGTGTTTTTTCGTTGGTTTGATTTTTGGAGGATGACATTTTTGTGGATTTTAAAATAGAGAAGATGGTAAAAAAATAAAATGTTTGTGAGTGTTTTTGGTTAATTTGATAAGGTATTTATAGTGTTGGTAAAAAAGAGAAATTATTTTTTTTGAAAAATGACTGTTTGTAAACGGTAACCACGAGGACCAATGAGATTCAAGGAAGAAACGCTCCCCTGGAAGGCCGTAGTGCGGCCTCATCCGCACCTGGACCGCACCTAGCTAGGGGGCGTTGTTTGTGATGATGAGGCGGATGGAGTGCGGACTGGACCGCACCCACTCCGTCTGACCTTACATGTTATTATTTAACAGAATTTGGATGACGACACTACTTTGACACATAATTTTCCGATGATAGAAATTATAGTGTTAGTGATGGAGTTATTCACCTTCTTTCCAAATTTTCTAGTTTTCTAAGCATGACATCTGAAGGGGGCGGTGTTCCTTTGGCATGCCGTCCGCCAAGTAGGATGCCAATACACCTACTCTCTTTATAGCCTTATAAAATGAATTTCATAAAATAAAACCACCCCGTTAAAAGTTATTACAAATAATATAAAATAAATAGTGTCAAATTATATTATTAGAGTTAAGAAAATATTACTTCCACCAACAACAATTAACAAATTATGAGCACACAAAAAACATACGAGTCTTTATAAATTACAATACTGAAAAAATTCAATAAATAAGCTTTTGATATTTCTGGCCGCATGGTATATAACAACAGATGCACACACACATCGGGGAAGAAATAGTTGTCATTTGGTTGGCTTGTCATGTACAACCTTCATGCATCCTCTCAATTCCTTTATATATCTTGCCTCCTTTCCACAAAATTTTAAAACCTTAAAAAGAATATAAACACACCATTATATATATAACCCGCGGGATAAAATAAAAATAAAGTGATATTTTATGCTTGCTCCATCTTTGGGGCAAATGTTAGAACAGCGTCGGCAACACTTAGGAAGATCTTGTCTTCCCCGATCAAATCTACGAAATTAGCCGCGTGTAGCTTGTCGAGTACGGTTTGTCCCGGATTTGTTAAAATAAGCTGTGTTCGCAAACAAAATCATGTTAGATTTCTTTTTTTAACTTTATGCACAAGAGAACAACTAATTAAATAGAGAATGACAGAATGAAGAACAACTAAACAAAATCATCTCAATATATATTAAAATTAATAATAATAATAAATAATAAATAATATATACAAGTGCCCCGTCCCATTAAATCTTAAATATTTGTGAATTTGTCTTTAGCTATCTTTCTATCTTTTTTTCCTTAAATATATCTCAAATATTATTTATCCAGATATGACTTAATTAAAAAGAAAAACAACTCAGCCATATCATGTTAATTATAACCGCAATTAAATAATCAACATTACAACAGATTGATTATATAGTTACCTGAACATCTTTCTTTCGTAGACCACCATGCAATTCTTCCAATGCATGAATGCCACTCGTATCAATATCAGTAACCGCTGCAATACGAAGAAACCTATGTCAATTTTTGATCAAATGTTTCATATTATGACAAGGAAAATTTACAATAATGTCCCTTACGTGACATATCAACTATCAAATATTGAACTTTGGGTTGATCTTTAAACGATTCTTCCTCGTCCCTTAGCCACCTCAAAATCCTACAATAACAAGTATATATGAGAATGTTTACACCCAACATGAAAAGTAATTTTCTACAGCTATTTTCGATTATTGATCATCATTAGGGTACTTAATTATATCTTTTGCAAACCCTAAACCTAACCTCATATTTTTGAATGGAATAAATTTTTTTATTGTTCATTACCTCTCCTTGATGTAGTTGGAATTAGAGAAGTAAATGGCAGAATCAACTCTGATTATTAGAACACCGGGAACTCTAGTGGCACCGAGATACTGCTCTACGTTACGGTACACGCTAGTCCGTGGGATCTTACCAAGCACCGCTGTACGGGGTCTCGTCACTTGTAACAAAATTTTTCCAAACGATATAGCAACCTATAAAAACAATTACAAAAACAACTAATCTTCATGAATGAAAGACTTTCGAAGTAAGATGCTTTTTTACCGCAATGAGGAGGCCAATTTCAACAGAAGCGAAAATAACACCGAAAAAGGCACCCATACAAGCTACAAAGTCAAATTTATCAATCTTCCATAGTAGGATTGCTGCATCAAGGTCAATGAGACCTACAACTGCTGATATAATGATGGAGGCTAGGATTGCATTTGGAGTGTATTTGAATAATGGGGTGATGACATAAAGAGTCAATAATACGATGATAGACATCACGATGTTGGACACTGCGGTGTTGCATCCCGCCATGTAATTCACTGCTGATCGAGAAAACGACCCTACAAGGAAAAAACCGTAGGAATGGAATCAATCATTAATTCTACCAAACACTTGTTGAAATGTAATCTAGACTTAGGGTTAGTTTAGGAATTTTAAGAAATAATTAATGTTGTTAAGAAGGCAGGTACAGTTAGACTGGTAGGTACGGGCAACGCCAAGAGACGTTAATCCGAGTTGGAAGTCTAATGACGCCGCCATAACGAGCAACACACCGCCCCCTCTCTCATGGCTTTTGATGTTTTGTTAAGAAATGTTATCATGGCCATAGGAAGTAACGTGAGCATTAACCAATCAAAAGCCTCTCCCTCTCTCTCTTTCTCTCTCTCTCTCTCTCTCTAACATGTTATAACATTTGAACACCATTTCCTACATAAGTCAAATGGTGTTAAGGATAACATGACATGTGACCTGACAAATTTTAGGTATGATAACATGTCTTAACATGTTGTCCACACCTAATAGCCTTAGAAATAAAGTTAGTGTTAGAACCGTTATTTTTTGGTGGTTAATCATCAACCATCGTGATTGGTCACCAACCATTGTGTTGGTTCAGATGTAACTGTGTCATGTACTATACATATATCTGGGTATGTAATCTTTGTGTGATTGATTAATAAAAATGTTTATCTTTCTTTCTGTATAAAGAATTCTCCTTTTTTCCTCCTATCTTCATGTGGCTTTCTCCAACAACACTACCATATCGTGATAAATGGAAACTTAATTTACTCCACACACCTGTTGCAACATAACAACTTGTCAATGAACCAACTATGTTCATGGAGCCTAGAGCCACCATTTCTTTGTTTCCATCAATCTGATAGTCCTTCATTGAAGCAAATGTTCTTCCAATTGCCACAGCTTCCTGTGTTTTATATAAATATATAATTAAGCATATAACTCATATATATACATGTGTGTTTATGTGTGTGTGTGAGTGTGTGTGTGTGTGTGTGTGTGTGTGTGGGTAGTGATATACCGTGAGTGCAATCAATCCTGCAATTACTCCAATCTTGAAACCTTTGGCAAGGAAGGGGCCATCGAAAAAAATTTCATGTGCCGATGATGGATTGATTCCTTGCTCGATATGACGTACCTGGAAATATCATCAATGGCATTTTAGTAAATAAAAAATGGTCATATGATTAACTAAAAACATTCACAATGTAAGCTGTATAGGAGTTGAATAGAAGTTGAATGGAGTGCGGGTGGACATGGAGTGGAGTATTGAATGAATGGTTGAATAATAAAATGAATCTTAAGATTGAAAATGTGTTTAATGGGTTGGGGTGTTAAAAATAATGTTTTATAGGTATTAAACACTATAGATTTAAGTAAATTGTGGTTGCCCTCTGAACTTACTATTTGAACACCTTCTTTGTCTGCACGAGTGATGAAGACGGAAAAAGTCGAGATAATAACGGAAATCAATGGAGCTATAGCAGGCACCCAAAAGAGCTTCTTGTTCTTCTTGCCCTGACCAAATTGAAAAACAAAATGTGAATTGAGGAGCTAGAAGAGTGTAAACTACAAATCATTCAGCGAGAGAAACCGAAAGAACAAGTCTTATACGATGAACTTGGCAACAAGAAGGAAGATCAAGAATGAGACTCCTATCAGTAACGTCTGCCAGTTCCACTAAGAAAAGAAAAAAAAAAAAGTCAAATCACTCAAGTTGTAACAATCTTTAATTTTTTTGTGTTCTATTAATCAAAGAAAGATCAACTCACCCCATGATGTGCTGATTGAACCACAGAACGCATGACGGAAATAATGTCCGTCTTTTTGGTGAAGTCTTTGATTCCAAACAACCCTTTCAGCTGTTGAAGTGCGATGGTGACAGCAGCTCCTCCCATGAACCCGACAATGGCAGCATGCGACAAAAAGTCGATCAGAAAACCCAATCTGAGAAAGAAACAAACCAAAAGGTCCAAACTATAAACACCGGGACCAAAACGATAGTGTTTTGATGGATCATAAGTGTGAAGATTAGATGTGAATAAATATACCTGAAAAACCCTAGTGTGAATTGAGTGACGCCAGCAAAGAAAGTTGCAGTAAATGCGAGACGTTCGTAATCGTGTTTTTGTTTGATGGGGTCGAGTTCCTCTCGAAGCATAGTTCCAAGTAGAAGAGAAACGACTGCAACTGGACCAATGGCGATATCTCTTGAGCTTCCCATGAAGGCGTAGATAAGAGGTGGAACGAAGCTCGAGTCTGTAGGTTTGTATTAGAATATATTGGTCAAAGATTTGAGAAAATTTTGTTGAAAGAAGATGAACTTTTGAGAAAACTTACACAATCCATATTGGGCGTCCAGGTTTGCTAGTTTTGCATAGCCAATATCCTGAAAACAAGAGTAGAAAAAGAATTAGAGCATGGTATCGTTGATGTATATAAAAATACAGGCTCTTTTTTTCACATACTAAAGTGTTTCTTTCTAAAATAGCTATTCTTGTAGCAACCCAGCTTCATTGTGGCCCATTTAAGTGGCTGTTCAAGAGCTCAATCTACCTAATTGGAAGTGAAATGAGACTTAAACCTCCGTTTATTTCTACAAAAAGGATTATGTTTTCAGCAACATCGCAAGCTCACACTGTCTAGGTCTAGCAGTCTAGCCCCACCAAAATCATGTGAAAAGTGGCCTCCTAAGAGCCGATATATAGTCTCTTTGTGCAAAAATATCACCCGGACCCAACTATATTGTCTAGAAATGGCAACCCCAGTCATTCACACAAAAAGGAAATGTCATTTTGAATCATACAAAAACACACCATTTATGTTAATTACCTGAGGGATACAAAGACTTGCAATGGTACATCCAGCAATAAGATCGCCTTTAAACTTAGAGAAACTATAATCTCTAACCCATCCAAGTATTGGAAAAAGGGTTTGAAATCCAAGGACAAGTTTTTTCTTTCTTGACTGGCCCTTGAAAGGTTTCAATGGATCATCAGAAAGAAAAGTTTCCTTGAGGCCGGTTTTGATCTCTTTCAACAAATCTTGCTTTGGAGGCTTCCCTACCTTATGAACATAAGGCAAATCATCCGTTTGGTGGAAGGAAGGTACACTATTCGTATCCGAATCCTTCCACTCAACATCAGCACCAACCCTCCCACTCATTGTGGTTTGATTCTTGTTATATCACCTTCATAATCAAAGAAAAAAGACAACTTATTAGTATATCAGTATTTAACATCTACATAAGCTATATAATACTCCATTTGGGTAGAGCTCCATAAGGAACCATATCATTTCATTTAACCAAGGAATCATCGCGATTAACATGTGAATAAGAAGGGATCTGCATGTGAATTCTTTTTACAAGGAAAATGCCACTGCATCTTTGTATTTTTCATTGTACAAGCAGATTCGCATATGTATCTCTTCTAATTCACATGTGAATCATATGGTTCCTAGGTTCTGTAAAAAGATGTAAAATATTTGAACTTTTCCCTACCGCATATAGTACTCTTACCTATGAAATTATATTTCAAATGTATCTATGAATGCAGATGTTCTAAGCAAGTAATTTCCAAAAGGATTGGGGTGGGATAAGTGGAGATTGAGGTGACTAATTACTTATAAGATTGCAAAGTCAACCTTATAACAATAAGCATAATATAATACAGTTTATACAGGAATGAATATAGATAGCATATGGACCAAATACGGAAACCTACAAACATATAGGGCTGTAATAGTTTCTGAGGGTGCAGCTGGTGAAGTTAAATCAGAAATTATTTTAATAACAATTTTAATCTACATCCATGTCGGACATATATTATTTTTTGTAGGGGTCGTTGACTTTAAATTTTAATAGATGTAATATGTTCAACATATGCATCTGGCTACATTTCCAATGAGTTAAGATTTCTTAGTTTCCATAATGGCCACCATACATCATACATGTTTGTCCCATTATAATTGCAACAATTCCTTTTATGGGAGTTCCAAACTAGGATTATCTATTTGTGGATTATCATCAATCTATGCACACTTTCTTTAGATGTCTTATTTGTTACGATTTATTTTTAAAATAAAAGATATGTTTAGATTATGGAATATTAAAGAGATATAAGAGATTTGGTTTCCTTTCTTTCAGGGATTGAAAGAAAGGTTTACGCTCTAAAACCTGTAAATCCATGAAAGCCCTATATTCTTTAAGCCACCATTCGCATCTCCTATCGTCTCTCCTAAATATCCAACGATAACAGGAGAAAAATATGGATCGTCAACAGGAACATGGGAAAACATACCTGTTATTATTCACTCAGAAGTTATGTTCAATGCAGGAATCATCCTCACCGAATCGAAGTATGATGTTTGGTCTCAACTGTTGGAGATGCATCTTGCAGAAAGAGAGAAGCTTTCTTACATCCGTGGAAAAACACCTCCTCCCAAAGAAACAGATGAAGGGTACGAAAAGTGGTATGCCGACAACCAAAAAGGGAAACAATGGCTTCTAATGTCAATGAGTCCATATATCATGAAAAGGTACTTGCGCTTATCATCTGCATATGAAATATTAAATTCAATATAAAAAACCTTCTATGATGGAAGCGATGAATTACAAGTTTTTCCGTTGAACCAGAAAAGCCTTTACATCCAAACAAAATGGTAAACCTCTTTCTGAATATTATGGGGAACTAACTACAATTTTTCTTGAGTTAGATCATCGTCATAAGGTGGTCATGAAAGATCCGGATGATGTTACAACTTATCGTAGGGTTGTTGACCGACTGCGAGTCCATATTTTTCTTGCTGGTTTGGATACCAAATTCGAACAGATCCGCGGTGACATACTTCTCAAGGATCCAATCCCAAAATTGGAGGAATGTTATGCACTCATCCATAGGGACGCCACACGACATGCCACCCTCCAAGGAGAATCTAGTGATCTGGATGCATCTGTAATGATAGCTCGACAGCAGCAAAAGATAAACCAAGTTGATAAAAGCTCACTCAAGTGTAGTCATTTCAACAAGACCGGTCACACCAAAACTGGATGCTTTGAAATTGTAGGATATCTAGAATGGTGGGATCATACCCGTGAACCTCGAAAGAAGAACAACAAAAAGATACCCATAGCGGTTGTTGATGAAAGTAAGAATTATGATGTTGTTGCTCTCAATGCCGAGTCCCATAATGGTATGTCTTTAAATAATTCTATACCTGTTAAGAATAGTGAATGGATAATTGATTCGGGTGCGACATACTATATGACTTTTGACCCTAAAACACCTCCTCTCTCATACATTCAACACAAAAATCTGTTTCCACAGCAGATGGGAACTTAACTTCAGTAACTGGTAAGGGTTCCTTAACCCTTACTGAAACAATGAATTTGGACACCATTTTAGTTGTTCCGTCCTTGGACTCTAACCTCTTACTGGTATCTTATATTACAACTAATTTACATTGTGTTGTGATTTTTTGGCCCGTTCATTGTGTTTTTAAGGACATTCAAATGAGACAAACGATTGGTTATGGTGTTAGGAAAGGAAAGCTTTATTACTTGGAGATGAAACCGGGAAATTCAAATAAGGAGGAGGAAGCTCTGTTTGCAGAAGAACATCAATGGAATAAAAAGGAATTAGATATTTTGTTGTATCATCGTACATTTGGTCATACATCTTTTGGTTACCTAAAACGATTATTTCCAGCTTTATTTAAAATTGTGATGTGTTAGGAAATCAGATGATACTTGTCAAGACTCAGAACAAATCTGATACCACTTGCCAAGTCCTGATGACCCTTGTTAGGAAGTAATACGGATAACAAGCAAAACTAAAAGCACACAAAGACATACTATTTACGTGGTTCGGTCAATGTGACCTACGTCCACGGGCAGGAGGGGAATATTCTTTATTTCAGAGTTCTCAAACAGAGGTTACAAGTACAGTTCACCAGAGATTCGTCCTATTTATAGTTGATGGATCACACCTAAAACCCTAATGGGCTAAGCGCATTGGCCCATAGGTCCGTGAATGGTGACAACCAATCATATTCCGCCATGCAACATCTTCTAGAACATTTTTCCATGTCATCCAACCCATGAGCATCAACAACACACATGATGGACCACCTTGACCATAATGGAGCAACATAATGCACATTTGGAGCATCATGATCACTAATGGCCCAACATCCATCATGGTAGCACAACATGGTGTATTTCTTGAGTATCATCATCTTCTAAGCATATATGAATCACCATGACACAACAAAGGAATCAAGATGGCACATCATGTACCTAGATGGTCCATGATGGCGCAATATCTCCTTCATGGCACAACTTCCCTTCTTGATGGAGCAACAACATCTCCTTGGCTTAACATCACCTTGGCGCAACTTCAGAGATGATGACGCATCATGCTATCATTTGGCACAACATCCCCAAGGTTGGCGCAACTTCCTTCTACATAAAAATAGATTTGATTATGTTCTCAAAACAAAAATTTGAATTATGGTATTATACTGCTAACACTGCTCACATTTATGATTAATTTACTCAGTGACATTAGATTTAAGGAATGGAATGAGGGCATTATGTTAGTTCTCAATTGCATGGATATTGACCTTGCATTTTGGATAGAGCAACATTCTTTGAGGATGTTGAGTTTGGGGGAGAAACAAGGTTAAAACATTGTCCTTAAGGAGGAATCAATCTTGATTCCTATTATTGCTTTCGATAGTATGCAGATTATGAATCAGTGATTGATAATGTTATTCAATCCCCTATTCTGAATACACAAACTCAACAACCTCAACTTTGGATATCCTATGCGTGGTACCACATTTTTCATCAATTTATTATCTCTTTTGGTTTTGAGTTAAATACAATACATTATTTTGTGTATCACAGATTAAGTGGGAGTAAATTTATCTTTCTGGATTTTGGCAGATATCTACGCAACCCAAGTTTGGATTATAAGAAAGTAGAAAAATGGATTTCGAGATATCTATATATAACAAAAGGCTATATGCTAAACTATAGGAAATAAGATGTTTTGGAGATCATTTTTATTAAGAACCTGATTTTATTAGATGCGAAAATGGTTACCGATCCATGTCGGGATACTTTTACATTTTAGCATGATGAGCCATTTCATGGAATAGACTTTGGTAGCTTCTTCCATAATGGCAGCATAATTTGTAGCATGAAATATGGTTGTGAAAATTTGTCACGAGGCTACACATTAATGGTATTGAAAGACCACTAAAGTCGTGATAATAAGTCAGCAATGTTATATTCTAATAACAGAAGTTCTATTAAGTCAAATCATATCGACATCAAGTTTCCTTCTGTTAACACAATAGTGCAAAATGGAAATATATATAACACATATGAACAAACTCCATGAAAGCGGATCCACTCCCTAGGTCTTTCATGAGAATACTACACACGTTGGTGTAAGATTTAGTTTTAGTTGGAGTTTTATGGTGCTTTATGTTTAGTTTAAGAACAATTATGTTTTGCTGTACAGAATTAAGAATTTGTTTAACTGCATTATTAGTTGCACTTATTTGAAGTTTGATCTCACTTCAATCTAAAGAGGAACTCGTTGGAAATCTATTTAGATTTTAAAATCACACATCATGTTTAATCTATGTCGTTAGTTATATATGTATATGTGAGCATTGATGGGTTTAGTTTCATAAATTGTAATGAATACTGTCACAACTAGCCTTTTTGGCTAGGAAATTCCGTCCTCAAGTAAGCAAGGACTATTGTGAGATTTGTGCTAACACACCTAAGTGTACAATATGAGTTCCTAAGGAGCCATGTAGTGGTAGAATGTAAATCTCTCCAAGTATATTGAATCTCTCCCAAATCTCTCCAAGTATGAGAAATCTCTCCAAGTATATTGAATCTCTCCCAAATCTCTCCAAGTATTCGAAATCTCTCCAAGTATATTGAATCTCTCCCAAATCTCTCCAAGTATGCGAAATCTCTCCAAGTATATTGAATCCCTCCTAATTCTCTCCAAGTATGTGAAATCTCTCCCAAATCTCTCCAAGTATGTGAAATCTCTCCCAAATCTCTCCACGTATCTCAAATCTCTCTCAAATCTCTCTAAGCACCTTCCTCAGTCGAAAACAGCTCAAAACCGGAAGAGGAAACACCAAAAGGACCCTCTTGGTTCGGAACCATCTTGGTCCTGAACCTCTTGGTCCGGAACCCTCTTGGTCCTGAACCTCTTGGTCCGGAACCCTCCTAGTCCGGAATCCTCTTAGGCCGGAACTCCTCCCTATTTCGGATGCTTCTGATGGATCCGGAATGCCCATGTTGATTCGGACAATCTTGCAAGCCGGAAGGGTGACTCCGGAATAAAGCTCTCATCCGGAAGGTTAGCCCCGCTTCGGAAAAATCCAAGTCAGCTTCGGAAGCCTCCGGTCCGGACCTCCGGATCTCGCATGCGCCTTCGGAATCCGAGACTCCACTCCGGAACTCTTCTGTTGACTCCGGAACTTTGAGAAATGCTCCGGAAATTTGGAAAACTGCTTCGGACCCTCGCAGGAATCAGCCCCCACTCCG